TTTCCCTCCACTTCCTTATTTTCTTTTTTCTCTGATCCTTTCTAACTTTGGTAATATTCTCAGCCACACTGTAGCCAAGACCAGAACTAAAGTGCTCACCATTTACACTTCTTTCCACTAAAGCTAATAATATTGAGTCAATAAATTATCTTTTAAAAGAGCTACCTTTTCATTTGCACTGATAAATGTATATAACTATATCTAAAATTCAATGTTGTGTCTTAAATTTCAGTAAGCTACTGTGAAGTTCACTATGATGGATAGTTCTTGACTCTACAGTTCACTCTCCTTTCTGCCCAGGATGCTGGCTTTTCTGTCCTCTGACTTCGTGCTGGGTTTGGCCAGTGGGAGGCAACAGCAGGAGGTAGGAAGGTGAGAGGATAGAGAGCTGAGAATTTACTTCCCTGTGCCTGTCTTCTTCCAGGTGGCGCAGTGGTAACAAATCTGCCTTTCTGTGCAGGAGACACAAGAGACACGGTCAGGAAGAGCCCCTGGAGGAAGAAATGACAACTCCTTCCAATATTCCTGCCTGGAGAATTCCACGGACAGAGAAGCCTAGCGGGCCCAGTACATGGGGTCACGGAGAGTCGGACACAACTAAGCGTGCACACACTCTGTCTGCTAGGTCACTGGGTAGCTTCCCTGTGTCCTTGATCCTTTGCTAGAAGTCATACTTTCTGTTAGATAACTCTCTCCTGCAGTTGGTAGCTCCTGTCACGTAAGTCTCTCCTGTCACTGGGACTTTGTGGTTTCCAGCAACTTCTTGTTCCTTTGGGTCTAGAGGTGGCAGTAGCCTCCTGCTCTTGCAAGTCATCAGGTACTTCCTTCTCCCTTGTTTTTTTCTAACCCTGCTTTCTCCTCTGTAAACAGACCCTTCAATTCAATCTCTTCGATCTTTTCATCTGTTCTTACTCAAAAACCCTGACCTGTTCAATGAAACTATTCAATTTCTATAGTATGAGATTCCTTATAAAGGTCTGTTTGTAATGTTGGATTTCTGTGTGAATTTTCAAGTTGGAATGTTAATGGTCAAGTTTTATTAGACTGAGTTTGAAAACATTTATTAACCTTAAACATTAACCTTTAACCTTAAACATTATTTAAGGTTAAATAATATCTTTGAGAGACAACATCATTTGAACCAAATTAGAGAGGGGTGCTCAGAGCTGAGTCTTACGTCCTTTGATATTGGGAAAGGGACAGATTTCAAAATCTAAAATAGTGGATTAGAAAGAACCTCACTAGTAACTTTACCTTGATGCTATAAGGAGTAATCATATGAGTTGATCAAGGAGAAGTAGTTGACTGCACCACATTTCCAAAAATGACGTATTCCAAAAACAACAAAGGAGATGATGTTGAAAGGTACCGAGTGCCTACAAACTTTACTGTTGAAGATCTGCTGGGATAACTTTCAAAATGGCCAGGATCCTAAGAGAATACCAGCATGTTTATATAACAGAGAGTTAATGAGTTTTGTAGGAAAAGAATTTATATTAAGCCTAGGTTTCTATGTAAAGGCCAAAAGAAAAAAAAAATTAGAAAACCAAAATCTCCAAGAAAGGAAAGTGAAGTTTGTGTCAAAGATACCCTAAAGCAGATAGTTTTGACAATAAAATGATTAAGAAGTGAAATAGGGTATTAGTCACTGCTATAATATCTTGAGGAAATGTCTGATTTCTGGTTTGAACTTAAGAGAAAGAGGAATAATGAAAAATTTCTGAAGTTATTCTCTTACATGCATAGTTTACTCTAATTGTTTGATTATTTTTCCCTATTAATGTTAGATCTTTATGTCACTAACCTAAACACTTTTTTAATACTAAATAAGAAAAGGAACTGGTGAAGCAAACCTGGAGATTTCCCATGATTTTCATGGTTTAGGTAATTTCTGTTTTCTGTATCCTGAGATGATCAAGAGTTGACCGGAGGTGAAAATCATGTTGAAAATCTTTGTCATCGGGTGAATTCTTTTCGTACTTCCGTGATTTCCAATATACACAAGTTATATAATGTCTTATCATTATTTCCTATAGAGAGTCTGTTGTCCAAAGACAAAGTATTAACTGCTGCCTTTTCTTATCTGTGTGACTTGGGGCAACTTTCCCAATGTTTTCAGGTTTTGCCCTTATAAAATGCAGATAATGTATACCTCATACAGTTGTTGTAAGGATTAAATAATATTTCATAGAAAACACCTGATTTAGAGTCTGGGACAGACAGAGTGTCCTAATAATACATTGTTGTTGCTAAGGCAATGATGAGAACTCATAAATAACATGATCATGCCACAAAGAATGCTTCTTTCACTGAAGGATTTTGTCCCTCCTAGGTGGTAGCCCACTCATGACATCTGTTACATTATTCTACATTCTTAAAATTAGCTAGCATAGCATTCTGCTGGACATTTTATAGATGGGAATAATTAGAAATTTTATTTTTGGTTCATATAATGGCCTCTGAGCATATGGAAGCCTCCTAATTCACTGGCAATGAGTTCATAAACTCTGCTGGATCTACATCTGTGAACCTACAGTACACATCCTCTGGGCATTTAAAACAAACTTTTACTTGGTGATAATTAATAAATTAATAATTGGAACTAAGGGAATGTAATGTAGCATGCAAGGAGAAGCAGAAGCAGCAAGTCAGAAATTCATGTGTCTATAAGGGACATGCTATTAGAACAAAAGGAAAGTTTGAAGGGTGATTCGACCTTGGCTAACATACTAGTGTGTTAGATTGATTATTTCCCACTCCCTTGTGATGATAAAATGAGTCTCCTTCATTTAAGCACTGATCACTGATGCTATGGAAGTTATCTTGGTTTATTAAGCTAGTGGTATTATGGGAACTCATGAATTATTAATGATTAGTGCTTAAGTATTAAATTCATACAGAATACATCTGCAGCCTTTTAAGGAAAAGTGATGTTCACCTTTTCTTTGAAAAATTATTGCTGTGCAAAGTCTTATTCCTCTATATAATCCCTCTCCTTTAGTAAGGAAGATCTCTGTATATAGTTTCATAATCATTCTCAATAAGTTATCCAATGTTCAGCACAATTGTATGCACCCACTGGTGAGTTCAATGCATATAGTGACTTTTAAAGGTCTTCTCCAAGTTGTTTTGCATTAAATATTTTATTGCAATAATTATTTTTAAAGTTCAGGGACCAGGAATCTTTGTTTATCAGAGATTATAGATTGTAGTGCCCTTCAGAAAGACTCATGGCTTGAGAGTGAGTCTGTCCTAGTAAGAATAGTACCTCTGGCTTCATTAATTTCTTTTTTTTTTCATTTATTTTTATTAGTTGGAAGCTAAATACTTTACAATATTGTAGTGGTTTTTGCCATACATTGACATGAATCATTAATTTCTTTTGAAAAATGGAGAAAGCAGTGAGAGGTACATGAAAAGAATGTTGTTTTGATAACTTTTCTTTCTTTTTTTTTTTTCTATGATAAACTTATAACTGTGATCAGAGGCCATGTGAAAGGCTTAAGGTCCACACTGCCTCCTACCCACTATTTCCACTGGATGTCTCCAAGGAAACAAATTGCCAAGGTCACCATTTGGGTTCTCCCTTCCCCCACTCCTCACCCCCTTCCACTTTTGATTTCCCAGCTTAGCAAATGATATCTCAGTTTATTTAGAGGCATATGCCAGGAGCTGGGGATGATTCTTAATCTGGAGACATCCTTCTGCTTCACCTTCCACAACCATAACTGACCAATTTACTTCATATCTTTCAAATGTTTCTCTCCATCATCAATGCCCTTGATAAACCATCCTCACATTTTACCCATACTTCTGAGCCATTTACTTGGTCTCTCCATTTCCACTTTTCCATTCCAATCCATTTTCTGCCACTCAAGCGATCCTTTAAAATCATGTTGGATTATATCCTGATCTATTTCAGATCTTTGCAGTGGGCACAAAGTCTGTCTGATCTGGCCCCTGCTTGTCTGTCCAGGTTTGCCTGACATCTCCTTTTCACTGGCTGCACACTGTCTTAAAGTCCTTCAGCTGAGAGGTGTTCCTCCCCACAGCAGGGCTCACTTCAGTCCACATCTTCAGATCTCAGAGCAATGTTCCACCTGGAGCCTCCTCAGATAGTTCAGGCTTGGTCAAATCCCCATTATGTGCTTTTATTGCATCAGCTATTTCTCCTTGGACATTTATGAGACCTATACCTTGTGTAATCTTTTTTCAGTGTTTGCACAGTTTCTCTCCTCTCTGCTTGCACATTTCTAAGATAGTTCTGGGGGCTTCTGAAGTAAGAATGTGAACAATAAGAGGACACCATTATCTTATCAGGCATACCCTAACACAATGCTTTATTTGTGCTAGACCTAAAATTAGGAAATAGAAGGAAACGAATGAACCACTTAATCAATTTTAAAGGATAAAAATAGACTCCAGGGTAGAGTAGAATCTAGGACAACAGTGTTTTAGAAAATAAAATTGAAGATAATAAGTAATGCCAAAGACACACAGTAAATGAAGCCCTTTTCAAAGCAAAAGTGTTAAATTAAAAACTTTCAGGCAGTTCAGGGAATTTAAGAAGCATATCATCTTGTTGAGCAACTTGTGACTAGGGGGGAATTCAACATCTTTTGGGAACTTTTTTTCTATTTAGGTCTCATAAAACCAAGTCCTGTCATTTAAGTTTCAATCCTTTGAAAAAGCAAGCCTTTAACAATAAAGGTGCCTTGCTCTATCAATTTCCTTTCACTTGGGATGGCACTCAGGGTACAAATGATGTGTAAGGAGGCTGCAGTTCTCTCCTTAAGCTAGTTGAAGATAATAAATAATGCCAAAGTTGGTTGTGTTTCCATGGGGTCACTAGTGTGCTCTTTAGCATTTTTAATTCTATCATGGATCAGACTGGGCAGGAGGAAAGGTAGATTCTTTTTTTTTCCATCCTGTTGTCTAAACTTAGATATGTCCTATTTCTGAAGCATTATCATTTTTGGAATTGAGGAAAGAGAGCTAAATTGAGTCATCTAAGTTTACTTTTTGCTGGTTGGGTGTAGAAGCCTTGTGCATGCCCTCCCTCCCACATTCAGAAGGTCATATCTCTTTGAAACTAATCCAGTCTTACAGGCTGAATGCTCTGAAGCAGATGAAGCAACCAACAGACAAATGATCATCCCCATTCAACACTGGTATAAAGTATAGAAAATGCTTCACAATTGATCTAACAAAAGAAGTTATCACTGTTTTCCAAGTTAAGTCAAGTACTGACATTGCACAAGGCACTGAGGTAGGTGCTGACACATATGTTATTTCACTTCATTGTTAGTATCATTGTTTTCCCCAAAGTTCCAGTGGGAAATTAAATGATACTATAAGCCATTTGTGGGTGAAATTGCTGCCAGATGCTTAAAGGAGATTCAGAGGTTTAATTCAAGACTGAAGTGAACCTACCTCAAATGCTTTTTCATTCCAGTTCAACTTGTGTTGTTTTTGCCTCATTCCTTGAATCTTCCACAAAAGGTCTCAGGTCTGAGACCTTGTCACTCTGAGCACTAGAACGATGAAGACATATTAGAAATCTACAAACTCTGCAAAGACACCAGGACTTATCTATACTTGTCAAAAAGTCCATTTGTTACATTGATTCAGCTAAGAAGTTTGCATCCCAAGACTTGAAATTTACCAACTGCTTATAAAACCCTTAAGAAAGAATAGCCAGAGATGAGATGCATGCAATAATATTTTATGACACTGGAGAAGTGCATCTCTGAAGCTTAACTCTTAGTCCTCCATTCAGATGAGATGTTGACAGAGGAGCCAGAAGGAAGATCAGGTATGTGGGGCTTTCTGGATGACTGGACCTCAATATATATCTCTAGTCATATTCCAATTCCATACTTTTTAAAAAAACCTTTTAAGGCTGCAGGTCAAAGGACTTACTATCTCAGTTTTTAACCCTTACTCCAATTCACTTGAAAAGGCATTTGAGCCCAGAGATGATGTAATACTGCCAAGACAGGTCAGAGGCCAAGCCTGAAGGCACGCATATGATCTGGTATATGGACAGGAGATGAAAGTATAACTGAGGAGTCTCTAACATAACCACCAGGTCCCTTCACTCCCCTTCCTCAGTAAGGAGTTGGGGTGGGCGCCCGGAGAGCTTGGCTCTTGTCTCTCCCTGCCTCACAGTGTAAAGCTTTAGCTTCTTCTGAATGTTTAATACAAGCCCCTGTGATGCCATCTCACTGTCAGGATGCTTTCCAGGGGGCAAGGAGTTCACCGAGTTCAGCTGGCACCAAGAATGGAAGTTAGCCCCTGGGAGAACAGGGAGCGAGCCCCAGCGGAGTGGGTGTTCCCGTCAGACGCGCTCAGGCCCTCGGGTCCCCTCTGCCTCCTCCGGTCACGAACGGAAGTTACCCCCTGGGAGAACAGGGAGAGAGCCCCAGCGGAGTGGGTGTTCCCGTCAGACGCGCTCAGGCCCTCGGGTCCCCTCTGCCTCCCCCGGTCCAGGATGAGGGCCTGGCTGCCCAGTGTGCGCGGCCACAGAGCACAACCTCGAGGCACAGCAGGGGTCACAGCTGGTGAAGGTATGCCGTGCTTTTTCTAAAAGGAAAGTCAGTTCTTTATTAGCACGGAATCTAGTACAGCAGCGTGGATACGTTTTCTATTCAGAGCAAGGACAGCTCTGTCTGTGCGCGCACGGGCACGTATGCATGTGTGTTTATGTTGTGGTAAAATAGCATATAACATAAGCTTTTCCATTTTAACAGTTTTTCAGTGTACAGTTCAGTGGCACTGGATGCATTCACAGTACTGTGCAACCATTACCACAGCTTTTCCTCATCCCAGATTGAAACTCTGAACCCATTAAGCATTGACTCCCTGGTCTTCCCCTTCCTCAGTCCCTGGCAACCAGTGTCCTCCTTTCTGTCTATATGAATTTGACTCTTCTAGATACTTCACAGAGGTGGAGTCATACAATATTTGTCCTTTTGTGACTGGCCTGTTTCATGTTTTTAAGGTGTATCCATGTTGTAGCGTGTGTCACAATTTCCTTTGTTTCTAAGGGTAAATAATATTCCAGTTTGTGTATGTGTGTCTGTATACATATATAAACACATATGTATGCATCACCATAATTTGTTAATACGTCTGTCAATAGATACTTGGTTTGCTTTGGTCTTTTGGCTATTGTGAATACTGTGGCTATGAATATGAGAGCACAAACATCTGTTTGAGAGCTTAGTGTTGTTACCATGAAAAACTACATATCTACAATTTGGGGTTGGAGCATTATGTATTCTTATTTGGGTTAGCATTTTCATCCTTGAAGAGTGTCCCAGCACGAGAGAAAGGAGGATATTCCCAAGTATTTGACTAGAAAAACTGGGCCTGGCCTGGTTCTCTGAAGCACAGAATTCATGAATTAATGCTAGTTTCAAAGGTTTCTCTGATGACAAAATCTCTCTGAGTGGTATGCTGCCAATCAGCTTTTGAACATGTTGGTTGGTTTGACTTTCCAAATCTTAACTGATGTTCTTGACTTTTGTTGGCCGGGGGGTAATTTAATCAAGATAAATTACCTGCTTCTGGGGAAGATGAGGCAGATGCCGCAGGGCAGCCGGACCTGGGTTTGGAGGACTGGGTTTGGAGGACCGGGTTTGGAGCTTCTTTTCAGCGTGGTGTTCTTCTGAAGATGCAGGATACCCTAGACTAGGGCCCTGGCCGTGGCTGGGCAGCTTGGGGTGCAGATATCCGCCTGCACGATGCAGCGAGCCCGCACCAGGAAGCAGCAGCTTCTGATTCTGGTGGCGCAGCTCCAGTGGACACGATGCAGCGAAGGTCTGGCATCTGGTTGCAGTCCTGGCCGAGCGCAGTGGCCGTCTCGCTGGTGAGCCTCCGGGGCGGGAGCATCACCGGCGCTGGCTCGAAAGACCTCGCAGAGGCAGGCTCCTAGCGGAGCATGGTGTGAGTCTATTTTCCTTGGGCAATGGGCTAACGTGTGATAGAGACCTTACATAAACGTAAGGATTTTTGTACATTTTCTGTCTCTGGTTCCAGGAGCACACCATCTTTATCTAGTCATCTACTGATGGGCACTTAGGTTCTATGCCTTTGTTTCTGTGAATAATGCTGCAGTCAATATAGGGGTGGTGTGTATCTTTTTGAATTGGTGTTTTCCTTTTTCTCTGGATAAATACTCAGAAGTGAAACTGCTAGATCATAAGCTAGTTCTATTTTTAATTTTTAGAGGAATCTCCATTCTCTTTTCCATAGTGGTTGTGCCAGTTTACATGACCATCGGCAGTATACCTGGGCTCCCCTTTTCTCTGCATTTTTGCCAGCATTTATGGTTTGTTGTCTTTTTGCCACTAGCCATTCTGACAGCATGCAGTGATCTCACTGTAGGTTTGATTTGCACTTCCCTGATGGTTAGACAACATATTAACTGCATATATTAAAAAGCAGAGACATTACTTTACCAACAAAGGTCTGTCTAGTCAAGGCTATGGTTTTTCCAGTAGTCATGTATGGATGTGAGAGTTGGATTATAAAGAAAGCTGAGCGCAGAAGAACTGATGCTTTTGAACTGTGGTGTTGGAGAAGACTCTTGAGAGCCCCTTGGACTGCAAGGAGATCCAACCAGTCCATCCTAAAGGAGATCAGTCCTGAATATTCATTGGAAGGACTGATGCTGAAGCTAAAACTCCAATACTTTGGCCACCTGATGCGAAGAGCTGACTCATTTGAAAAGACCCTGATGCTGGGAAAAATTGAGGGCAGGAGGAGAAGGGGACAACAGAGGATGAGATGGTTGGATGGCATCACCGACTCAATGGACATGGGTTTGGGTGGACTCTGGGAGTTGGTGATGGACACGGAGGCTTAGCTTGCTGTGGATCATGGGGTCGCAAAGAGTCGGACACGACTGAGCGACTGAACTGAACTGAACTGATGGTTAGTTACATGGATCACACTACTTCTGTTTGGTGTGTTGCATTCATTTTTCTGTCTTCAGGAAAGCTAATATCTTAGGCATTTGCTTCTGGCTTGCTGTTGTTGTTGCTGATACCGGGAGAAAATGGGAAGATACTTTCTCACCCCTGAATATCCACACCAACTAAACACACTATAAAATGACAGTGGCCATGGTAAAAGTTTCTCAGAAATGAAGTGATACCTAAAGCAAACTGTTGCTAAATGATTAAAATAAAATGAAGAGCACTTTCTGACATTATGGTAACTATTCCTTGTAGTTTTATCTCAGTGGTAAAGACGCATACATGTGCAGTGTGTGCTCAGTCACTCCAGCTGTGTCTGATTCTTTGCGACTCTATGGACTCTACCCCACCAGGCTCCTCTGGTCATGGGATTCTCCGGGCAAGAATCCTGGAGTGGGGATGAACTTATAGGATTGTTACAGTAGGAATATAAAGAGAAAGAAGGAATTCACATTCAATTTCTGCCATATGAAACAGGATTTTGCATTATGGCAACAGGCTTGTAAGACAAACTTTATTGAGGAAGAGACAATTTTCTCAAATTTAGCACATCAAGAGCAAAACAGGGGGAGCTTGGGTTAGAGTATCAGAGTTTCTTCAATAAAGGTAAACAAAGATAAATGCCCATCTGTGGCTATTCCTTGAGGCATATGGCCTCAAGAGTGAAATGAAATCCTCTTGTCAATATGGGATTATGGAATAAAGATGGAGGAGAGAGGCAGAGTAAATGGTGAGGAATGGAGCTTTTCCTGCCATGTCAGTAAACAGAAGATATCACAGTCATTAGTAGCTGCAGCCACAGCCTGTGGTGAGCTCGTGAGCCTGAGAGAACTCAGCAAAGAAGGAATACTTGCCATCTAGCAGACATCAGACTGCAACCGCTCCCAGTGGCTGAACCCTGAGGAACCTCAGGATACGAAAACATAGGCTACTGGTCACAAATAGCTGAGGCACATATCAGAGGGATGATTTCAGTAAACCCAGACTCTTGCATCTTTCCATACACTGGAAAGCACTAAATTCTTTAACTTGCAATTTCTGATTTTCTTTAACAGTAATCTATTGATGTTCTGATTACCTGCCCTTTGTTGCAAAACTCATATATATCCTAGCTCCCCCTTCAACTCCTCAGAGCAGTTTTCTCAGTGTTACTTGAGATGCTACCTTCCAGGCTTGAAGTCCTAAAAAATCCTGCCAAATGAAAGATAACCCTCAACTTTTATGTTGTAAATATTTTTTAAGTTGACAGTAGAGAATGAGAGACATCCCAGTCTCTCCTCTCTGGGCTAAAATATGTTAAATAATCTAAAGGAAATGACAAGATCCCTGATTGGCATTTTGGTGTGGGAGTAGGGGATTAATTTTTCTAAGTTACAACCTAATTTGTGGAAGTTTTTGTTGTTTAGTCTTGTGTCTGTTTAGTAATTGTGTCTGACTCTTTTGTGACCCCATGGACTGTAGCCCCCCAGGCTCCTCTGTCCATGGGGATTCTCCAGGCAAGAATACTGGAGTGGGTGGCCATTTCCTTCTCCAGGGGATCTTCCTGACCCAGGGGTTGAACCCACATCTCCTGCATTGGCAGGTGGATTCTTTTCCACTGTGCCACCTGAGAAGCCCCTATCTGTGGGAGAGACAACATCAAATTAAACTTGGTGATTTAGTGGTTTTAGTTGTAAAAGAGGGGCTAAGCTTGGTTTTCTCACTCACCTTTGGTTCATGGCCTAGACAAGAACCAGACGCTTCCAATGTTCTTTTGGAATGACAGAAAATTTTGCCATTTGCTCTAGGTTTGAATAGGGGAGAGTGGGGGGTGGGGAGTTACCATGTAGCTGAAGGTTGCAAGGCAGAACCCATGGGCCAGGATCATACAAGAGACACACACTTCCAGGGGCCAAGTAAGCCAACAAGTAATGCTAGGCCCAGAACAAGCCAAAGAGACCAAGCTACAGACTATACCAGGTGTGTGTTTGTGTTGTAAGTGGTGGCAGAGGGAGAAGTGGCCAGTCTGAGTAGTGCAGTTGATCTAGAGAAGCAAGAGGACACCACTCAGATTATTAGATCCTTTTGCCCATTGCCATGAGCAGCGCCCCATCTGAGGACAAGGGTGGAGGAGGAGTTCTGAAAGCCTGGCCTTGGTCTGAGCCTGAGAGTCCCCAGTAGATGTTTGGCTGTATCTCCAGTATGATCCCAGGAGGGATCAATGAGTTTCTTCAAGAGATACTTCAGAGTATGATCTCAGACAGACAAATGACTAGATTGGACTGAAATGTAGATGTCTTCCTTCTGCTACTAGCTAGTGGGTGCTTCAGCACTTTAGAAGAGTTATAGGCAGGATTTTATAACTACATTTTTTCTGCCCATGTCAACCAAGGGTGGGAAATTGACAGCCTTAAGAAAGCAATAAACATTCTTTAACTATATAGTATGACAAATGACAGCCACAACAAATTGAAGTGAGAAAACCCTTGACA